CCTCCAAAAATGAGATGCATATTTAATATGTCATGACTTTTCCAACGACCCAATATATATATAATATATATTATATATATAGATAAATCACCCCTCATTGGGGATGGCCATGCTACAATCCCTTCTCCCCCATTTTCCTCTTGGGACCTTGGGCATGCATGCACACGTGCCCAGCGTGAGTTTAAGCTGCCGGGTCCACGACTTGAACCATGGTCGACTGCATGGGAGTTCAGCGACATAGCCGTACGCTAACTGCTGGTCCCCGACCCATTATTTTTGACTGTGTCAAGTTCATACTTTCAAATGCCAAGCTGGGTCACTCTAGCCATTTTTAGTGGAAATGATTCTGAATTATGTCGTATTTTCTCTTGCTTTTAGTCAGGCCAGTGAACACAGCACTCTCTGGTGGAGTTTTCTGTGTGATGGAAATGTTTTACATGGTCTGATATGGTAGTCTCTAGCCATAGGTAGTTCCTGAATTTTTGAAATATTGGTGGTGTAACTGAGAAAGTACAATTTAAATTTAATTTCTTTGTAGCTCATGAAACTTTGAATTTAAAGGCCACATGGGACTAGTGGCTGTTGTATTGAACGGTGCAGGTTTAACACCCTGTCTAGAAGCTGGACTCTGGGAACCTCATCCCTTTGGAATAAATCACTTCTCGATGTGCATGGAACTTGTGCTCTCTAAGGCGTTGCATGCTGCCTTTTCATAGTGTTATCTTTTTCAAGATTGACTATATTTTTTCCCTGCCATTTTTTTATTGTTTGTAGAAGTAATCAAAAAGCATTAGGCTGAGGGAGAGTTGTAGAAACATAGGAATCAACAGAAATGAGCAAAAAAAGTAGAACAAATGAGGTGACAGCTGGCATTAGGTAGCAACATAGGAGGGAAAAAAAACTAGGCTAGTAAGCTAATAGCTGACTTAATAATGAAGTGATAAATTTTTTTATCTCTAAAGAAGCAGATTAGATAGGTAGAACGAATGATAGATAGACTTATAAATATTTTAAAGAAAATTTCATATGAAAATGCACTAATGTTTGTCTGGTGAAAGGGTAAACGTAGTTATTTGGAAAGTATACCCCGTTCTTCGGTGATGCCAAGCAGTGGAGGTGTGTACTGGGTATGCCTGTTTATATGCAAACATCATAAATGTTTCTATGCATAGAAATACCCTTTATTATACAGAGAGATAAGATCTTTAGTTGAGTATGATGATATCAAAGGACTATAGCTGTTCTTTAGAGTTTTTCTTATCTAAATCAAATGTCATCAGTGTCATCCTATTATTAAGGATAATTTATCTTTCTTCACACTTTAGAACTGTGGAAATTTTTTTTTTTTTTTTATGCCAATGAACTAACTAGGTGTTCTTTTCCAACTGAATCTGTAGTTGACATAGTGCTAGGAAAAAAAGGAAAAGAGAAAGTGTGAGAGGACCTCAAAAATTTCATGAAGGGACCAGCAGTTACCATAATGGCTATGTTGCTGGACTCCCACGTAGTCGACCACGGTTCGACTCCTGGACCTGGTGGCTTAAACTCACACCGGGCGCGTGTGCTTGTGTGCCCAAGATCCTGAGAGGAGAGTGGAGGAGAAGGGATTGTGGCGTGGCCATCCTCCCTGGGGGGTGATTTCTCTCTTTCTGTCTCTCTGTCTCTCTCTCTGTCTTTCTGGCGAGTGCACGCATCCTATAGCAAAAACCTCTCCAAAAAAAGAAAAAAAAAATTCAAGGAAAAGTGAAATTAAAGTACAGACATGTTTCAGTACATATATATTAGAAATGGTACATAGTTTTTTGTATAACACTCTTTTTCCATGAGCTTTTTGAGGACCCATTTCCATTCAATTACCTGCTTGTTTTGTCCACATAAGTGTCAAGAAATGAGTTTTTAAAAAGATATTCAGAGTATAGGTAGTATAGTATTAGGTAAATATGGAATTGATATACTTTTTTAAAAAAATTCTATTTATAGTTATAACATTATGCACTTTGTGAGTTATTTATTTAGTTAGCCTGAAGCTGTATGCACTTAATGGGGAAGAGAGAGAGAGAAATTCTTTCTCCACAAAGAATGGATGGTAATGCCACACTTTCTTCTTCTCCATCTTGCCCACCGTCTGAGATTTGGGGCATGCGCACATGCACGTGTGCCCAGCATACTTCTCATGCCCCACGTGCACAACTGGCCGTTTGGGATCTAGCTGCTTTAACCATCATGCCTATCACCTGGCCTGATTTGTATATTTAAATTAAGACATTTAAGCTGGAAAATTTAAAACTGACTTGTAATTTTAAAGCATGTATACTAAATATAGCTATTCAATTTCAGATTAAAAAAAATAAGATAAATATTTGGTGCAGAATAGAGCATCTTCACAATCAGTAACTGGAGTATTAATTCAAAGGAATTATTTAATATCCTGCCCCAAACTGGATGACTCTCGCTGGGCTACAACACAGGCTGTTTGAGGCTGCTAGTAACTTCCTCCCCTCAAAAAGATAGATAGATAATCAAATCCAGCCCATTTTTCTGCCAATGGCTTTGAATCCTGGACTGCCACCAGGTGTCATGCTAGCATTTTAATTGAAGCCCAATATACTTAATATTTCTGAGCTGGTCAAATTTAAATGCACTAAATTTATGTCTTGAAATGAGTATAATGGGGTATTACCAAGTTAATTACTAAGTTAAGGGAAAAGGCTCTGAATAAACCCTTCTTGGGAAGCTAGAAAAACCCTTGACGTGAGTATTATTCCCTTGATCAGTACTAATCTCCATGCCTGGCATTGTCATCTACCACAAGGAATTTACAGAAAGCACGTATTTGTGCTCATGTGACTTATAATGAAAACATTTACTAAGGCTCTGTCTTTAAGTCAGTATAGTGTACACACACACACACACACACACACACACACACACAGACACAGTCAACTTAAAGACTTAAAGCTTACGTTTATGCTGGCTTTGGCCATCTTAAGGAGTAGAAGGTGTTCGTTCACGAGTTCTGAGTCTCAGCGCCAATAGCACACAGACCACCTAAGCCATGGTGCAACGTTAGGCCCAAGTGTGGTTTCTGAAGGTACACTGTGTACCTGTGTAGGCGGATTTTGGAGGCAGCCACAGGACCTGCACACCTGTCCCAGAACACCCCATGGCAGCCTTCCTAAAAATGGATTGCTCCAGATTTCTTGGCCAAATTTTTAGGCCGAATGCCCTGAGGACTGCAAAGCCTCTCTTTCTATGGGGAGCTTTGTCTTCCTTGTTAAAATTCTAAAAAATGTTGGAAAACTTTTCTCATGAGTTATGAGAAACATTTCTGAACAACAACAACAAGAGTCCTGAGACCTGGTGCAGGTATTTGGCAGAGGTGCAGTCCGTTTATGCCATGCGTATTGTACTCTAAAAGTCTGTTCCGCGGGCTCGCAGGTGGTGTGGAGGTTAAGGTGCTGGATCCAGTGGCTTGACAATCATGCCAGGCACATGAGCATGTGTGCCCAAAATCCTGAGATGGGAATGGACGAAGGAGAAAAATGCAGCCATTCCCCCTGAGGGATGATTTCTCACTTTCCCTCTCTCTTTCTCTCCCTCTCCCACACCCATCTTTCTCTGGTGAGCACATGTGCCCTATAGCAAAATCTAAGAAAAAAAAAAAGCTTGTTCCATAGCTTCAGAGAAAGAAATGGAAGAAAACAAAATGGGAAGTAAGTGTAATATCTCCTGTTTGTCCAGGAGAGATTGATACAATTAGCTGAGGTAATGTGTGCAGGCTCATGGCAAAGCAGCGTCCACATGCCTTCCTGCGATGTGTCTGTAATCCTTAGACACAGTAACCTTTTGAAGACAGAGCTGAGTGAAAGACTTAGGCGAAAAAACAGATGGGTTCCTGTATGTGACACATTTAAATTTTAGAAAGTAGAAAATATTTTTAAAATATTTATATACTCTGTCTTTAAAATCTATTATTAAAGATATTATTAAACAAATTAAAAACTAAAATATCTGTGGATTAGCTAGTGCTGGGATTCTTACCTTGAAGAGGTATAAATAGGTGACTCTGGGACCAGCAGTTAGAGTAATGTCTATGTTGCTGGACTCCCATGTAGTCGACCACGGTTCGCATCCCAGACCCAGTGGCTTAAACTTATGCTGGGCGTATGTGCATGTGTGCCCAAGATCCCAAGAGGAGAATGGAGGAGAAGGGATTGCGGTGTGGCCATCCCCCCAGGGGGTGATTTCTTGCTGTCTGTCTCTCTGTCTCTCTCTGTCTGGTGGGCGCACGCGCCCTATAGCAAAAACCTCTCCAAAAAAATAAAAAAATAAAAAATAAATAAGTGAATTTAAGAAGACCTAAAGAAAATAAGAAGAATTTTTTTATGCCACTTAGATGTTTAGGTTGAAAATCATTCTGAGGGAAAGAACACATTTTATTCTTGGTTTTGGCACCCAGTAGCGTAAGGTTCCTTTAAAATTCATAATTACCACTGTGGTAATTATAGAAGTATTCCCAGTAGATAAAAAGGGGTAATTACCAATCCTGAGTTTTGGTAGTAGCATTCACAATTTTAGGCCTGAAAAATCCTATTCACCTATTTAAATATTTCTATTTAGCCAAGACACCTGTTCTTAAAAGTGTAGATTGGACTTGATCCTGTCTTAAATAGTGAAGCTTGAATGTAAGCACTGAAAGCCAAATGCTTAAAAAATTATTAATCTAATGTTTAATTTGTGATTCCCTTTTAGCAGGGATGTGAACATGTAGATATTTGAAAACCAAAGTTACGCTGTGGGCTTCACCGTAAGTGTGAAGATACTGGAGGCCATGCCAAATACAAAGAGCATGATTAAAACTGCAGTGTAATCTTTCCTAGTGGTGTTACGCTGTGGAGCACGGGCAGACAACAGGCCTTCCATGCTGAATTGCTATGTTACAGTTGGTCTCTTCATGGGTTAGAAAACTACTGTGGACTTTTTTTTGTTTGTTTCTGCAGGTCTTTTCTTGGCTGTTCTTTCCCATATCTTCTGTGCCAGGTACTCCATGTTCGCCGCTAAACTTCTGACTCACATGATGGCAGCCAGCTTAGGTACACAGGTAGGACAGCGCTGGCCTTTCTGATTTATCATGGGAGGTTCATGTTTTTGTTCTGTGTTCCTCGAGTGGAATGCATAAGTAAAGTTTAATCTCAGCTTAGTCGGAACAAGCTTGTTTGGTTGGGGGAAGGAGAACAGAAAATGAGAGTAGGAGGCCTGAAGTGAATATTTTGTGAACTTTTTTCCTACCGGGAAGTTTCTTAATATGATCACTTACAAGAAAACTTTATCACAGAACATCCTATTGTCAGCTAATATATACTAAATGTACTACTAATTTATATAGACAGTAAAATTCACATATTTTATTTAACCTATTGGAATAAAATCAGTAATGTTACAAATTTTTATAGGAAAAATGTTAAGATATATACTTTAAAACGTCTAGATAATATCCGTTGTTTCATTTAATATGATAGAGTATACTTTGGTAGAACATGCTCTTAAAAAGGGGCTTAGCTGTCGATGGTAGAGGAAGCAGTGTGAAAAGCATTGCCTTCTTCATTAACATGCAGTTAAAAACACAGTTTAAGGCACAGAAGGCAGATCTGATCAAAAGATGAAATTAAGAACTTTCTTTAGTTCATGAGGTGCTCCTAGTCTAGAAAAGCAGATGTGTGATGTAAGTACTATAATGCAGTGTGGTGTATCAACATAAACTATTTGCAAACTATTACTGGGAATATACATGAAGACAGTTTATTTTTCTGAGAAGGCCAAGATGGTCTTCACAGAGGAGGTAATATTTACGCTGAAACTCAAGTAAAGTTCATACGGTTGAAGGTACTGGGAAAACCATTTGTATAGGTAGAGGGGGAAAAATATCATTTTCACTTTTAAGGGTGAGATTATAGATCCAGACAATAAGAATATGCTATATAGTGTTAGTATTGAGACAACATTTTAATATTATTTTATAAAATGAAAGTACTCTTTTGCCAGGTGGAGGTGCTGACAGTGCTGCTTCTTAAATGGTTGTTGATTATATAGATGTATTTAATTCATGTAAATGTGTTGTACACTTAGAATTTGCACACTGTTTTAAGATGCTAACGTGCCTTTTATTGAACTCTTAAAAGGACTTTAAAAGATAACATTAGTGCAGGAGCTATAATCTAAAATGAAAAATTATCTGAGACATTGGTATTCTGTTGTCTTTCCTTGTCCCAGAAGTGAAAATGGCCTGGACATTTCATAACTCTGTTTCATAGAGGACAGCAGAGTGCTGGGTTCCAAGCAAGAGTGGTTTAAAAGTATTTATGACCCGTAGGAAGTAGCACCCGCTACTGAAAGGAGGGCTTGCGTGGAGTATGACGAGGCTATTTATATTGCCTTGGTAAACCGTCTTAGCTGTCTGATCTCGCCTTTGCTTCTTGTATGTTAGATCTTAGAAAACCCGCCTTCCATAATTAGAGTTTACTTGGCTGTATTCACCACCCACTCTGGTAATTTTTTGGCAGCAGAATTTGTACGAGACTTAATTATAGCACTGTAGAATTACAGACAACTCTTCAGGGTCCTAGCAGACAAATTTGCTCATGTCTAGGGATGTGAAAGAAAGACCTAGGATTTATAAGTTGAGGCATTGCCTCTTGATTCACGTTATACTTAACACTGATATTTTGGGAACATACAGTCACATTCATGTTTTCCAGTATGTTTTTAGCATAGATGTGAAACAATGTAGTATGAAAAAGAAGAGTGAATGATTTGTGATATGAGATAACTGAAGAATTCTTTCCAAAGCCTATCTTTGCTGGGAAGACTTGGTATACTACTGAGAGAAAGTACTATTTTCTTAAGATTGTTAACCTTATCTGTAATACTTTGATTTTTAAAATATTGTCTAAATTAAAAAGAACAATGATCTCCCTTAAAACCTTTTAGCTAAGGCCTTTTAAAATTCTTAGATTCTGCAACCAGAAATGAAGCTGATGACACGGATGTGGACCTCCACTCCTCTAAATTTTGATGTCAGATGTAAAGCTCCAGTAATAGTTCCAGACAAGCATCTCTCATTTGGGAACCTCCATGCGTGTTATGTTGACATCCTTAGAGTTTATATTTACTCACAGTCTTCAAAAACACAGACTTGGCCTTTAGTTCTTTGGCCAAAAGAATGAAACTTCTGTAGCCGACCTAGAGTGTTTGAGTTGTAATACTCTCAGACAGGTCTGCTGAGACCATTGGTAGCTGAGCTAGAATTAATGTGAAGAAAGAAGGGATGGAACTGTTAGTCCTTGATTTCATTTGGTAGCAATGTAGTATCTCAGGCCCATAACTCAGTCAGTCAGAAAATGAAATCAAGTCTGGCTTTCTGTCTCTTCTTCCAAAAATACAAAAACTACTATCATATATATATATATATACACACTTAAAGTTTTTGAAAAGGAAAGTGAGAAATCACCCTCCTCCCCCAGGGGGAATAGCCATGCTGCAATCCCTTCTCCTCTATTCTCCTCTCAGGATTTTGGGCATGTACACACATGTGCCTGGCATGAATTTCAAGCTGCAAGGTCTGGAACTCAAACCAGGGTTGGCCATGTGGCATAGCACCTAAACCATGGTGCCACCTGCTGGCCCTTAATTTTTTATATATACCCACATCTGGAGGAAGATAGATGAGAATCCAAGGAGTATTCTTGCTTTAAAAGTCCAAATATGCTGCTTTAATCTGGAGTTTGTCATTCTAGCATAATTGAGAATCGTTGACTATAAAACGCCAGCAGGTGGCAGTAGAAGGTTGTGTTTTTTTTTTTTTCAAAGTTGGTTATCAATTTCTCTTTAGCAATGGTGGAGTTTAATAATAATAATAATAATAATAATAAAAAACCTGGAGGGATGTGTTCATAGTACTTCTTAGACTGGGTAAGGGAGTTTTCATCTGCAACTTAGCAGATATACATTTGCAATATCCTACGTTCATCTTTTTATCTCAAGTCAGAATTAAACTAAATGCTTTGGTAAGGTACCCTAAGATATGTCACTACCTTTGGATATATCTATCTGTCTACCACTTATCAGTTATATTTTAATGCTGGGGTGTAAAATAATTTTCATCACCGTATTTATTCTATGATAAGTGCTGGGAATGTGTTATTGATAAAGAAAAATATGTTTGTTGGAATGTTGCAGTCAAAAATTTGAAGTCTGAATTTTCAGTAACTTATCAAAAATATGTATGTTTCTTCAGTGCTAAGTTAATTTTTCTCACTTACCTAAAAAAATAGATTAAATGGCAAGAAGCTGTGGGACTCTTCACTTTGAGTATGATGTGAAAAAACAGCAAACAAATTTTCATGGCACTGGGTGATATTTCTGGGAACAACATCTAATTATATCTTTGGGATTTTTATCTTGGAATCACATTGCCAGCCCATGTGTGCCCTGATAAGGTTGGTAAACAGGTAGGACAAAGGACAAGTTTGCAGTTCAGGGTTCTTAATTCCCTGGGTTCTGTCAGGAAAAGCAATCCTCCACATCTAAAAAAAGAACAGAAATTTCCTCATTGAAAACATAATGATAAGATAGAACTGCACTCACTCTGATTAACCATACTTAACAAGGGGGAAATTGTTTTCTTTCTTTTTCCTTTTTTTTTAGTTCACTTATTTTATTGAGAGAATAAGTTTCTCTTATTCTCTCAATAAAAGAGGGAGGAAAGAAGAATATTCTCTGCAGGGTCTTCTGATGCCATGGCCCCTCCCCCAGCCCTCTACCTAGGAAGGAATTTGGATGCACCTGCCTGGTGTGTTTCAGGTCAACCATGGATCCAAACTCCGGTCAGTCACGTGGCTTTTGGCCCTGCAGATAAGTTTGCTACTGCCTGTGCCACCTCTCTGGGTCTCTCTGGTTTTTGTTTCTTTGTTTTGACTTCAACACATTTTGTGAAACCGAGTAACACATTTATCTAGAATAAAGGTATGCAAATAGGATTATACTTTCCAGCAAACCTACACATTGTCCGAGTTCAGGCGGCACTAAGGATATGTGAAAATTTTAAATACTTTTTAAGTTTTTGGTAGCCAAAAGATGTGCACTAGTTTTAGCTGCGTAGGCCCTTTCCTCAAGGATGGAGAAGCAAATTACCTTCAGATTCAGAGGACTAGTCTCTGGAATTTAGCAGGAGTTGGCCTGTCAGTGTCTTTTGTCCAGTTTTTTGTTCTGCACCATTTTAGTACGTTGCTTGGCAGTGTCTTGTTTCCCGGGAAGGATTCTGCTCAGAGATCCCTGCTGAAACATTCTGTTTGAACCTGGAGTTTATGTCATTCTAGCTGTGGCTATCTGGCATCATTGTGAGTCTCAAAATTGTTGACTGTACGTGATTAAAGCCAAAAACCAAGGGTGACCTCCCGAATGCTAGCTGCTTCTAGATGTCACAGGACCTGGTTTCTTTCCCAGTAGCTTGTGCTGTCTTGTTGAGACTGCCAACTCAAGAAAGTAGCTGTGTCTTGAGGGCCTGAAGATAGGTATCTAACAAGCATAGTCTTATCAATGGAATCAATTGAAGCAGAGTACGATAAAGATTATAAAATGTTCTTTAGTCACAATAGATTTTTGCTTAGCTGGAAGTTTTGGTTAATCACTCATTAGCCAAAATGTCCTTTGTTATTTCTTCTTTTGTATCTGGGGTTGGGGGAGAACTATTTAAGAGGTTAATTCAAGGATCAAAACTGGATCTTACTTTGGGAACCAGCAGTTAGCATAATGGCTATGTCGCTGGACTCCCACGTAGTTGACCACGGTTTGCTTCCTGGACCTGGTGGCTTAGAACTCACTCCGGGCTTGTGTGCGTGTGTGCCCAGGATCCCGAGAGGAGAATGGAGGAGAAGGGATTGCGACATGACCATCCCCCCTGGGGGGTGATTTCTTGCTTTCTGTCTCTATGTCTCTCTCTGTCTGTCTGGCGAGCGCACATGCCCTATAACGAAAACCTCTCCAAAAAAAAAAATTGGATCTTACTTTGAAGAATAGAAACTTGAGAAGCACAGAAGGTCATTA